CAAGCATACCCTGAGATCACCCTCGTGTGTGTGTGTGTGTGTGTGTGCGTGTGTGTGTGTGTGTGTGTGTGTGTGTTTGTTGCTTTGCCAGAGAAAGGCTTCTTGCCAAGATGTTGCTCGATTTGCTCTTTTTTACAGCCTTGAAGTTTCACGTTTGTTTGCAGCAGGCGGAGCTTCAAGTTTCACAATTTGCTGGTCACTGGCTCAACCTTGTTTTATCAACACTTTCATTGTCAAATCCAGTTGTCGAGCAGTTCGGGTCGGTTGCCTTTTGGCACGCGACATGCTCTGTGTTCGGTTCTGAGATGTCATTGTGCGCTCTGTTCTAGGTGTCTGTTCGTGGTTGCAGAAGATTTGGCGCACCAAGAACAGCTCCAGTTTAAATGTTCCAAACTCAAGGAACCCAAAGTTCTGCTCAACTGAGCTCAGGCACGTGTCAAGCTCAGTGTGTAAGAGGCGCGACTCAGTGTTTGGGCACAATGTCCACCTGGCACACAGCAAGGCTACATGCTCTCAACACCAGTTCAAAGCGTGCTGGCCTCTTTTTTCCAACCAGCTGCACTTGCCAACTCGAGGCGGCCTCACTCCGATCCAACACCAAACCATTGAAAGGCACTCCAACCAAAGGTTTCGAAAAACGCGAACTGACTGTCTTTTTGCTTAGCGGAGCATGGGCTCGGTAGTTAAAACTCCTGTCGACGCTCAGCAGTGCAACTCACTGGCTGTAAGCCTTAGGAACAGGAGTTTAAGTGACACTGATGTGCAAGCCAATGTCCAGCATCTGGCATCTGGTACATGGACGAAAATCCTTGAAGTCTCTGATTCTAAGACGATGCTGTTTGGACACTGGCCTAAGCTGCACTCCTAAATCGGGAACGAAGCCAAAGACTTTCCGCATTGGAGCACGTACCAAGGCCAAGTGAAGGAAATTTCCGACACATTGGCCGTGTCATGGGACTCAAGTACGAAGGCTAATCAAACGGCCGGCTCAACACTGAGTGCAAAATAAACAAAATGGTAACGACAGCTTTGTGAGTCACCGGTACGGCTGCACAAGCTCAGCACTTGGCTCGCTTCAGGTGAGCATCAGGCTCAGCCTTGCCGTTGCTCGCTAAGTGCTTCAACATTAGGAACTCGCCAGCAACCTCAGTTCATCTTGCGGTGCCAGGATTTGCTGCATGGCATGCATGCATATAGGGCCATTTGTTGTCAAACTCAGAAGTGATGCCAAGGCGCAATTGGATCATACAAAGCAGGGTGCTCTGCAGAGATACATGAAGGAATTGTCTCGACCATGGCATCCTGCATCACAGCATGCAAACTCTAGGGAGTATTCGACTCAAGGAATCTGGTATCTCCAGCCTTGTTGAGATTGTGGAAGAAGGCCAGAGCCAAACGCCTTCCCCAGCTTGCGGCTTTGCCGGTAGGGGGATTGATGACTCTGTGGAGCGTGGAGCTCCATTTGTCGTTCGTCCAGCGCCTCATCAAATCTCCAAGGTTGATGACAAAGCCATTCTCCACAAAGGGCACATTGTGCCAGACTGGATTTTCCTTGTCCTTGGACACCTGCAGTCCAGGACCCCCAGATCTCAATATGGTTAGTGTCCCATAATCTGTGTGTGCAGAGCATCGGATGGAGCCCTCGGGAACCGTCATCCCAACTTGGTCAGGGTAGTTATTGGATCTTAAAGCAGAGAGATGCTTGTTGGTCTTGCTCACGAACCAGTCTTCCGGCAGGTCCAGGGCAATGGCAAACGCTTGGAGAAGCCTCTGCGCCAGCTGATTGGCATGGTCGTAGTATGCCTTACTCGGAGTTGACTTGAAGCCTACGCAGATGCAAGACTGAAAACTGTGGATGCTAGGTTAGCCTGAGCCGAAGATCGTCCCACGCATCGGCAAACCCAGCGGGCTCCTGCGGAAGTTGGCGTGGCGGCATTCCTGCCGCTGGGTCCTTTGGCCCAATCTGAAACATCTCCTGCACCGCGATAAATTGGCAAGGCACTTGCGACGTCTAGGCTGGAGGATACCTTTTAGAGATTCAGAGATAATTTCATTCAGCGGAGGCTTGTTGCGAATCCTGGCCTTCAGGTCTCCTGCTGTAGCGGTTTTGCCTCCACCATCAACCTCTTTTCCTCGAGAAAGCTGCTCGCCGCCAAGAACAGAGTAACCTTAGAACAGAGGCAAACTTGCGTGTCACAGTGGAACAAATAATTACACTGCGACAACGAAAACCATCTCTTACTAGGCCACCATATGGGTACTTCGACTCGTCCTCGCTCACAAACTTCTTCTTCTCAACCAGAGGCAAATCGAAAAAAGACAACGTTTTCTTCCATGCGTTGTCGATCACTTCAGTCGGAATACCATGGTTCACCACAACAAAGAAACCGATCTGCTCACACGCGCCGCCAATCTCCTGTGCCACAGACCGTCTGGCTGTTGCATCGCCACCGGTGAGAGCTGAGATGTCTATGATGGGCACCGGTGACTCCTCGGCGCCTCTGCTGCGACTCCTCTCACGAGTCTCACAACTTGGATTCGAGACACCCATGGTCCAAGCCCCTCGGGTGAAGAAGCTTAAGCCAAAGCTTGCATCACGCGTGTGAGTCACGTCTACGCATTGTGCTAAAACATGCTGAGATCCTGCTGCAGCTAGGCTTCAGACAGTCCCATCTTTGTGAAAGAACATCGTTGTTCCTCCGCGGAAAGTCTTTAGAGCTTGGCAGCCGCTTAACAAGCTGTTGAAAAGGCAGCTGCAGGACACCTAGAAAGGGTTCTTGTGGAATGCTCGTACGAGAACAGCGTAGATGCATGCCTTCTTCCCCGATGAGTAGAAACTTCCACTGGTTCGTAACGAAGAAGTTGTTGATTGCAGGCTGGTCAACCTGGCCAGCACAAAGAAGCTCCATCGTCCTCCCTGGCAGAACATGAACCCCGCTCTTAGCGCTTTAGGCAGAATGGGATACACAACCCTTACAAGTATTGACACAGGCTCTGAGTCCATCATGCCATAGCGCCGAAATCCGAGCACTGCACCTTGTTGTCCTTGTGCATGCAGGAACCAATCCATTCATCGTCATCCCAAAACACATCCGGCAGCGGCTTCCTCAACAAGTCGAGGGGACTTTGAATGCAACTGCTGTGCTTATGCGGTGGTATTCTGTATGTTGCCACTTATTTGAGGAGCCACATGTCAGCCCGAGTTCAGGTCGGAATGAAGTCTTTCTTCAGCCGCTTCCAGCCCCGAAGGCCGAGCCTGGCAGCGCAGCAGAAGCTGGCGATGCCGATGGATTCTTGCTCCCAGGCCACCCACAAAAAAAGAGTGGCAAATGGCTCAGGTATCGGCCGAATCTGCATGTACCTGCACTTGCCCAGTGCAGAAACGTGGCCAACCGGATGGCAAATGCTTTAGGCATGAAAGGTAAGCCTCTGGCTTGGGCTTGCCAGTGACAAACTCTTTGGGATTCTTAAACTCTCTCCTTGCACAAGAAACCAGTCCGAAGAGACCGCACACAAAGAATCAGCAGCAATCACCATTAAGGCAAAAGCACAGCTCTTTCGAACTTAAATAGGTATGGCTTGCTGCTGACCTAGTAACAGCAAGGCGCCACCCGGATTTGAGTCTGTCAAGCGTACAGAAGACCAACTCTGCAAGAGAGCTAGCTTTTAAGTTCTGCACATCGTGCATGTTGTTGGGATAATAGTCGACCTGCGCAGCTTGCAAGATGTGACCAAAAATGCCCATCTACAAAATTTCAGATCAACTAAGCGTACAACCCACTCAAAGGGTATCTTTTCTGTCAAGTAATCCAGCGTCCTTGGCAAATGTGCTAGTCAGCCGCAATGAAACCCTGTATCTGGCCTGCAAGTGTAAGTCATGCGCCAATTCATTGCCTTCCACTTGTGAGCGAAGCCGTGGAGGACCTAAGCCCGCTGGCAAACCACATGGAACGGAAAGACCAACTGCGACAGAAGGACATAAGCGTGAAGGCCCGTTCTGAGCGTCACATTGCTTTCCTGCAGCTTTCGACACTTTGCATTCACAGGTGCTTTGGATGAGTCATGAGGTACAGGCCAGCTCATCAACTGTGACTCCTGAGTTGATATATCTTGCAGCACATGCAAATGTGCTTCCTATGCTCGCGGCCATCTTACATGTAATGAACTTGAATGTGAACACAGACGCTGATCAAGTAAACGAGCAGAGCTGTAACTCCGGCTTGCTAAGCAGCAGGCTTGGGATTTCCAGCTGGAACTTCTGAACCTGATCTTGGCAAAGGTACTTTTCGTGTCAGACCCTTCTCTCTCCATCTTGCAGGATAGCTTGTGACGCATCCTGCCTTCTGGGAAAGAGTTTGGTGCAAACCTTGGACCATGACAGTACGACACTTTACCTCGCGCGGCAAGATTCCTCAGCAGCGCTGTCTTTCACAAGCGTCAAGTTATCAAAGCACGCTCTTGCGTATGCTACACTAATGATGCACGTATCCGCATCCAACACGTTAGCTTACAGCCAGAAGCCCAGGCATCAGCCTGCCATCTGGTTAGTGACACAATAGAGAAGAATGCAGAAAACGCTCTCTGCAAGTTCTTGTTGACCACACGGTCAGCTCCAAAATCGAAGGAGCTCTACCAATTGAAAAATGAGCTTGGCCCTCCTTTGGAGGCCAGCCTCATGTCACGCGCCCGATTTCAGCAAGTGACCCACAATCCACAAGAAACCTGGGATCACATGCAAATCCGATTGTTGAGCCCAGGAGCCAGGACCTTTATTGCTGGGCTGCCATCAAAGCGGAGGATGCTCTCCTCCAGAACCTGTACAGACATCATGCTAGCTGATGCGAGCAAGCGGGGTGCTAAGTGCAGAACCAGGAAACCTTTCGATGAGCAGCTGCTTCATCGTCTTGTGCCTGCGCCACTCTTGATTCTGCACAAGGAAGTCCTAATTTCAAGAAACACTGGCCTGAGCTGACTTGCTCTTGCTGGGGCTGCTCTCATTCGGCTTTGAGCGTGTGCCACCCGCTGCAGCAGATTTGGAATGAAAATAGCCAGAAGGCAGTGCCACATCTAGCAAATCTTGCACGAAACCATCGTCTATCTCGTGGTCTGGGAAGAGCTCCACCAAGAGGTGATGCAAATCATCCGGGCCGATGACCCCACTGTGAGTCATCTCTGAGAAACAGGCACGCATGTCGAAGACTTGCTCCTCTGAGAGCTTTACCTGCTCGGCCACCAAGGCCTCCCGTCTCCGGGCAGCGACACGCGCGCTCTCCACTACCTTGCCACACAGCTCGGTTGCCGTATCCAGAAACCTCAGTGATGCAAGCACTCAGCTCTGCCAATTTACGAGCACTGGTTTTTGCATTCCCTGCAGCTCAGCAGCACAGTCTCAGATCCACTTTTGTGGCAGTCTTCAACAAGGGCCCTCACATCCAGAACGCTTCGGCAACTGTCTGCCACCAATGACAAGTCCATGATAAGCTGCGGCATGTCCGCAACTGCAATGGCGTGGTCATCAGGCCATTTGTGTATTGTGTACCACGACCTGAAAGCTGCTTCGCGCTGTGATCTTTCTTCCCTGCGCAGGCTATCCACCTGTTCTAGGAACTCGGGGAATCTGTACACCGCAAGCTTGTTGACACGAGTGGCAAAGTTCGCTACTGTTGTCATGTGCAATCTTCCAACTGTTGGCAACGTGCCAGAATCCATCAAAGCCATAATCAACTCCTGTGTACCCAAAAGACCGCGATGGTGCTTTTCCTTAGGTGATGCAGTGTCAAGCTGGCCCTAAATTCTTTGCTGAGGTAGTTTCCGATCTCTCATAGGGCTTGAAGACGTGACACCGAGCCAAGGCACATAGCGGTGAAAATATCTCATCATAACCGCGATTTCGCCAAAGTGAGCAGTCTTACAAGGCGAGAGAAATGGTTCATGCGATAAAGTCAGAGAATGTTTGCCGATGCTTGCTGGCCTCAAGGGCTGGAGTAAGGCCTGCTGATCTTGCGGCACGCTCTTCCATCTGGCCCTGGAAGGCAATGAGCTTCACCTCTACATCCTCAGATCATGTCCATCACGTCTGCTTGACATACAGCACAATACCTTTTCTATAGCAAAAGTGATCATACTGACTCCAAGAATTCTGCGTGTGAATTCTGCGTGCGAGCTGTGCTATCAGCAGACAGCAACTGCCGAAGCATCAAAAAAGGCCGTATGAAAACAAGCTACAAGAAAACATATGCAGCACTGCCAAGGAGCTCAGCCATGCATTAAAGCACATTTGCGGTGCTGGCTTCACGCTTGCAACTGATTAAGCAGGCTAGGAGCTGTAATAAATGTGCAGGCAATTGTTTTCCGTGCTGTGTTTAGCAGGACATTCAGGCTTGTTTATTTTGGGAGTCCCGATGTTGAAAGGATTATCCACAAATTGCTTTGGAAATCTTGGGAACACTACGTTTAGCAAACAATGCTTGCCGTGGGGTGGGGTTACTTTCGGTTATGTGGTGAGGTCCTCGAATATCCATGAGTGTTACCAGCCTGAGTTATCGGATGCAGTGCGGGATGTGATTGTCTGGCCAACGATGGATGCCCTGGGAATAATCAGCTGCCATCGCGCTTTCTTGTACGATGCAGTTGCTCACAGACATTGTTGTCTGGGCCAGCTTTCATGGTTTTTCTCCACCGGATAGACTTGCGCAAATGTGCTGCGCACTGGCATGCGGAAGCAATTGGTGTTCGGGGAGGCAGATGCGAACGAACATGGTGAACTGTGTCAAAGTGAGATTAGAAACAGTTCCTCTGCGTGGCATCGGAAGTGTCCAAAGCTGAACAAAACCTGCATTGTTCATGATTTGCTCGCAACCCCTCTTGCTTGGGACATCTCGATGCTGGGCTGTAGCAGGATGCGTGCGGCCCTTGAAAAGTTCTCAGCAGAAAGCATGTAAGACCAGGAAAGCAAGACAAACAACTACCTGCTGATCTACAATTTGAAACTGACAGATTCCCAGCGTTCCGACCAAGCTGCTGATGCTAGGCGTTGGAAAAGAGCAAAGTCAATAGTCTCGTCGCTGTGCTTGGAAACCTCCACATACTGCGGAGAGTAGCAAACTGGCATATTTTGGAAGCTTGCCTTGTGCTGCTGTGCTAGATCCTTCAAGAAGATAGGCCAGAACCTGAGCTTCTTGGAACCAGATGATTTAAGCCTCATTTCATGCATATCCAAACATAATTCTGCTACATTGTTCCTGGGAGAGCAGCTGCTCCATGATGTCCCCATCAAGCACCGTGATGAAGGAATCCGCGTGCCGACGCAGAGCTTCAATACAGTCCGCACAAGACAAGCTACCAGCCATAGCAACGTCCAACCTAACGTCCAGTTCAGGAAATTGAACCAGGCCATTTGTTTCCTCTCTGCTTGTTGCGGTGCACACCCGGAAGTCATGTTAACAGAGAGGCCAAGTGGCTGGTTGAAAAGGGACAGCAGTTTTGGAGATTTGGCCTCGAAGAGCTTCTGCTCAACCTGAACAGGCAGCAGCCCGAACCACGTCTGAAGCATTACCAGAGTGCACTAGCGGCCTTCGGGGTGACCTGGAAGACGAAATCCAGTAACTCCACCTCAAATCAAACATTCCGGGAAGATTGACAAACATGCTCAAGTGGAACCCAGTGGCTGCTCCAGCTGCAATAGACTCGCGAATGACCTCTTGGACTGCCTGCAGAAGCTAAACACTGTTAATCGGACCACACGCTGACTTGTCAGCTCGCCTCCTTCTCGTGGCTCTGCCGGCCACCCAGACCTAGATCCGTCAAGGCTTGTCGCAGCTGCGTGGCACCCAGACCTTTCTGACCAACCTGCAGCGCACTGCAACTTATAAAAGCTCACACAATCAATACAAGATTACATGAGCGAAGAAAAGACTGTGGCAGCCGTGGCAGCCAAGGATCTCCAGCTGCACGATCAAACGCACTGCGTAAGCGCTGTTTTTTGTCATCAGGTAATGCCTCAAACTCCATCTGCTTGGCTTGAATCAGCCTTTGCAGCCTGTTCAGTGTTGGGATCTTCTTCTGCTTGTCATGGCTTTTCCTGCGATCGGACATCTGTTTATGAATTGCAGTCGCATCCATGTCAGCAGACTGCCGACGCCCAACAACGGATAATCGCCTGGCCAACGAGGCTCGCCTGGTTGCTGTTTGTAAGGATGTCTGCTTCGACACTGATAGCTCTTGGCTAGCTCGGTCTTTTTCTTGTACAACACTTACCGAGGACTTCACACATTCACAATCAGCTATTGCTGCATTGCACAACAAGCACGTGGGCACTTTCACGAGCACCGACTCGACGCCCTCGCTGTTCAGTACTGCGCTCTGCCGGTGACCTTCGCCCTTCCGAGCCCGTCTCCTTTTCCAGTCTGCCGCTCTTGCACGGTCTTCAGCTGCCTTTGCCAGTTCGCAAGCTCGGAAGTGCCTTCCCATTTCAGCAGACTGAAGCGCGGCATACTGTATACACCGCATAGTGCCAGTTCCCCGCCAAACCGCTACCTGCCAAGGCCCTGCTGCCATAGCTTCCGCTAGCGTCTTCCTAGATGCAAAGCTCCGCAGGCCCTTCAGAATGCTTGCCGGAGGCTCTCGTTCAGGACTCCTCGAACTCTTTTGAGGCACAAGCCCAGTGCTTTGCGGCGACCCACGACGGGCACCAGCACGTTGAGAAGATCTGACTGGAGCAACGCTTCTTCTAACACCCGAGCCTCTACATCTTGGAGATGCTGCAATTCCCTCTTCCAACCAATCAAAGTCTGTTCCAGTCATGCATTGCCCTAAGGCTCGAGGGCTGCATCACTGTCTGCACCGAGCACACATCACTACCCACTCTCGCTGCCCTTGCGCCAATCAAATGAATTCCATGAGTTGCATGTTCCCTTGCAGGTATCACCTGCTCCATACAGCAATGCCGGGCATGCTGCTAACATGAAAAGAGCACGAAAAGAGCATCCTGCTGAGAAGTGGACAACTGTGCAAAACCTAATCAACACCAACGCTGAAGCTGTTGCAAGTACAGATCACATCCAGGTCTTATGTTCCGCACAAGAACAACAAACATCATCCTGAGCTTTGCACGCAGGTTGCAACCAGAGCCACTGATCTGCCAGGTTCACAGGAACCAGAACTATCATGCCCCAGGCACAAGACGTGCATTCAGGGTTGCCCTGGCCTGCAGATCGGAAAGCAGCGATCAGGACCCATGGTCAGCATCATGATTGCTTCTTGACTACGTCGTACACGTCATACCGTCGTCATAATACTGTCTGCAGAAAAATTTCTGCAAAGACTTCACAACCATCTGGACTGCCCTGAGGACTGCCCAAAGGGCACCATGAAACTGAGTCAGAAAGAAGCTTGACAGGGCTTAATGTGATGAGCAACCATTGTCGCAACGTGCTGATGTCATGCCACATTGAGGACACAAGCGGGGAGTCTTGCATGTTTCCAAACATCTCTTGCGTTGTGCATGCTACTTGGTGCTGTTTTTGTGCTCGACCAACCTGGTGCAAATTAACATCTAACACCATTCTGCTCACGGACATCCTAGATGCTGGCGTGATGGCGGCTGTGAATGCGTCGTGTCAGGCGCCGATTGGATCTTGTACATGCTGGAGCAGTATGCACCTCCAACCTGCGGAGGCCCTTGTTGAAGTTCTCGTTGAGCTGCTTCTGGTACTTCAACCTGTCCAGGGGTTCCATACGAAAGAAACCAAACCAATGACCAGTGCAAGTCTCATGAAAACCGTCTAAAAATGTGTTTTCTGCACACACACACACACATGTTGGGCAACTTGAATTAGGACTGTGCTTCAAGACGAGAAAAAAGTGCAGGCTAGGCCTAGGCAGTACAAGCGTGGCAGCGACACGTGTTTTGTCCGACTTGGTTGCCCATATGATCATCTGCGTACCTTGCGGATTTGCTGGAACACATGTTGGCTGACCAAACGTTGCCGAAGCATGAACTGCCACTCACGGATCATCATAACTGGAAGCCTTTCATCAAGGTTTCAGATGTTTTGACAAGTTTAACTCTCTTTTGTCAGCAGTTGTCTCGATGTTGATTGGGATTTGGCCTCTGCAGGGAACGTTTCAACTTTGAAACCCTTAATCCAGCACTGTCGCACGTAAACTCTTTGACAAACTTCTTGAACTTACTGCTGATGACATCTTCCGGTGCCTGCGAAAGCAAGATGCTGCCTTTGGCACATCTGATCAACTTGCAAGTTGCATAAGGATCGTCGTATGCCTCGTTCTCGTACTCTGGCTGGGACTCGTAATTGTCACGACCAGGGATGAAACGCAGCGATTCGTCTTCTCGCAACATCGAAGCCGCCTGGCAGAAACAAATCTCCGTGATGTGCACGGATATGCACGGCACATGGACGGTCCTCAAGCTCGGCACCGAGGCGCAGAACAGCAAGTGCTAACCCCCGAAACACTTTTTGAGCCAAATGTGCCAAGAACACGCACAACAGGCGCTGACCAACGGTGTCGCTGGATGAGAACTGCACCTATTGCCGAAGCAAGCTCATGATCGAATCCCCAAATCCCTGCCAAGACCCCACGCACCTTGTTCCAAAACGCAGTCCGTATACGTTGATCACGCTTTTCGACGTCTGACTCACGTCAAAAACTTTCGTTTCATGATGAAATAGGAATATGAATTTGCAAACACACAGACGCACGCGAGATACCCTTATCGAGGAATATCAATCCACCCTCCAAGCAATTTACACCGAATGCTCAAAACGTTTAATCCAACTGCCTTCCCCAAACGGTGGGTGAACACTAAGCCAAAGGCAAAAAGATAAAAATGAGCAAAAACAGAAGTCTGACTTGAAGCAAGTAAATGCCAAAATGGGATCGAGAAACTCACAGAACATGAGAAAGACATGCAAAAGTGTGAGTGCCACACTTTTGTGACACCAGCTAGAAATTTCATTGGGTCACACCCCAGAAAGCCATCGCTTCGAATTGCCGGGCACCGCGCGCAAACATGGGTCCATAAAGGAAATAAAAAGCAACCATGAAAATCAAAAAAGGCGCATGCTCCACAAAGGCAACCCATGATGACACGAAAACATAGGAAATAATGCGTCGTCTTGCACGCCAGGAGGCCAGCTTATTCCTCTAAGTTTTCTGCAAGGCACTCCAAATATCACGGTCCATCTCAATACTTTATATTCAAATTTATGCACTCAGACTTTTTGGTTTTCACAAAATATCAGGGAAAGGCTGTGAGTGAATGGGCATAAAAGGATTTCCGAAATTAACTGAGTTTTCACACGCGCACAACACATGTTTGTTGTCAACGCAACTATCACAAAATGGACTGACATGTTTGCAGCACAGATTGAAACCATGACAAGTGTTTGCACAAGTACGCACTCATACCCTCGGCTCAACTTTTTTATTTCCACCCGGGGACTATCAATGTTCGGTCACATAGTGCAAAGGTGGGCTGGTTGCTAGTTTACGCTTGATGCGGTTACACAGCATGGTTGCCCTGAGTCACACCTCTCGAAGGATAACCCGTGATGTCGCCAATGAAGGATAGGTGGGTGAAAACTTTTTGAAATGTGGATGTTCCGTCCTGTCAGCATGCACCACTTGCACAATGGAGCTTGTAACATGACTCACTGTGTATGCATGTGTGGTGCAGCTGGGCCAGAACTGAACGAGTACAATTCTACATTCCAATCAGCAGCATGAACTCAAAACTTCAGAAAATCAGTCTTCAAATTTAAGGCGCAACATGAAAAGCACATGCCTTAAGACTCAGTTGAGAAATCACCAAGTAAACAGCTTAGATTTCTCCCCAAGGTTTTGCGCGGCTGAGATACAACTATGAAAACAAAACACAGGCTTGTCACTCGTGATTTTGTCCATTCTTTGTTTTTCACAAAATCTCAAGGAAAGGGTGTGAGTGAAAATTGCACGAAAAGGATTTTCCAAGTAACTGAGATTCCACACGCGCACAATACATGTTTGTTGTCAACTCAGCAACGACAACGTGGACTGACATGTTTGCAGCACAGATTGAAACATGACAAGTGTTTTAAGTCTCACCCAGATGCCAAAGCTATAAAAAAACCAAAAACCTTTGGCATCTGTAATCTCGCACATCGACAAATAAACACGTCGCATGAAGATACTATTCAGTATAAAGTGTTTTTCACTCAACAAGTCACAGCGCAGGACAAATAATCATGCAACGCAGAAATGCAAACGCTACTGGCTACTAACAATCCTACATGACTTTAATATACTATAGTACCCAACGTTCCCAAGGTTTAAGGCACCTAGGATTATGCAGGATTTTTAATACCCACCGCAGTACCCACCCCCCACAAGCGACATGGAGAAATCCACTTCCCAACGTCAAAGCATGCAAACGCAAGCAATGCGAACAAGAAGGCAGACCAGATCTCGCACAACGGGCAAGGTCCAGGTCAAAAACAACCCCCACGGTGCCTTACAAAAGCAGAGCGTTGCATGCAAGTGCTATGTCTGGAAGATTTTTATGTCTTGGAGAGTGTATTTTGCAGGCATAAAAACAAGTGTTGAAAGTGCTAAAACGTGGATTTTGACGTATTCCGTCGCGGTTGATTACGAAAAAGATCTTGGAACGTTATGTTTGGAACGCTCGGCCTCCACGAACGAAGTTGCTTTCAATTCAGACACTTTTGCAGCTGATGTGTCAGCTTTTGAGCCTGTGCTCCAAATGGATAATCGGCAGGCCTATACTGTTTTTCCGGAGCCCTGTCCGGGCCAATCTGCACACAAGCAGTGCCTGGATGCAGCTCCAGCTCACCATCCCCCCGGGTTGGTTTGTGGACACGCCGAACCTGCACCGAGGCCTTTGCCTCCGAGTGTCCCTGGCTCTGAGTCAGTTCTGGCATTAAGGGAGGCTGTGCATGCGCACTCTGCCCTTTTTTCCTTGATGTTTGCGGTCCAGGGCTCTACGTACACCGGAAGCCCTGAATGCCTGCAGATGCCCTCCAAGGTACAGGAAAGTCATTTGGTC